AAGACACGCACCTGATCTACTGTCACAGCTCAAGTGACAAGCAGGAACCCAGAGGAACACTAGGATGTTGCAAAAGTGTCTTTAACCACCTGACCATTAAATATTCAAAAGTAAATGTTAGCTGAAATGTAGCAGACATCAGCTGTTCTTCAGCCTTAACAATTTAATATGATCCAAACACATTGCTGTTATCAAAATCCTCCTGTTTTCACAGCATCTCACTTGTTTTTGAACAAATTTAATAATGACCACATCAAAATGCAGAGACATTGCTTATTTCAAACATTGTCTCCGTTGGGAAAAACAAAGCTGCAGTCCCTGATTTGTTTGGAATGTGTGGCAATGAGGAGACAGGCAGCTCTAACAGCCACATGGGATGAAGGTGGGAGAGAGGCTGAAGAAAATCACCACATTCAGAAATTACAAGCAGAAAGATGTAAAAGAGTTGAAGGATTGGGTTGGTGTTTGTGTTTTTTTCTTTTTCAGTTGCTAACTTGAAAACCTGTTGAAGTAGTAAGAGAATACAGGAAAAATAATTAACATTTTCATAATTTATGCTCCAATTCACCAGTGATTAATATTATAAATATGAGCATTATTTGCAATTGTTACAGTGAATCCTAGTGAGACACAAGTTTTTTTCTCCTCCACTACTCCATCTTCCAGGTTGATTAGAATGTAACTGTCACAACTTGAGATAAAGTATAATCTGTATGTAGACACAAGCTTTATCTACTTTCCTCTGAAATATAACAATAGGTATGTCAAGGAAATGCTACTTTAGAAGGGTTTTCTTAATGCCTCTCTTATATATATGTGTATATACATACACAGAATTATTTATGTGTATACATATATATAATGTTTATTAGAAAGCTTCCAAACCAATCCAGTTTCCTAGACCTGGAATTCGATCTGACTGGTAACAACCTGTCAGCTTTAAATATTGGACTATTTGTCTCCCTGTGTCCAGTGCCTAAGATCTTGTTAATTACCTAAACTCCCTTTCTGTAGGTCTTGTTAATTACCCGTCTCCTGTCTCAGAGGACCTTGTTAATAACTTGTACAGTCTCTCTAAAAAGGTCCTAATAACACATTAAAATTAAAGATGCTTTTCTTTTAGCACTTGTCAAGTGGTGTAAATTGAGAAATTTTCACATCAGTTTATTAGCCTGTAGTGTAGTGTCATGTATTTTCCTAAACAAAAACAATTTCAGAAAAACGATGCACAAGCTTTGGTTATGGCACAAAACAATCTTTGTTTTCCAGGAGCACCCTCAGTTTCTTTAACTGTGTTCAACACAAAAGCCACGTGGCTTCTGACTGCAAATTAACCTTCTGAGAGCCACAACAATAGCAGGAATTGTAAGAATGAGTCCAATTTAAGGCAGTATTAGGTGAAAGTTTCAAAACAGTGCATTAAGAAGTACAAAACCAAAATTTTTATTGGTAAATGCTGGCTAAGAGCACTAGACATTGTTTGCTTAAAAACTCTTCATTGGCTCTATGATACAAAACCTCTGGAACCTACAGATTTTGTAGTATTTGCAAAACCAGCATTTTTTGTTTCACTATGAGACTCCTGCATTTTTAAATTTTCAAGGAATCAGCTCATAAATATTTCTGCTATCCTACAACAGACAATGGAACCCCCAATCTTAACACATTACACTGCAATATCATAGCTACAAAAGCATTTTAAAAATACTCATTTATCCACTCAGCATTTGCAGAAGGTACAGCATCATCCCTATTTTACAGATTTAGCCAAAGCCAGGGAACAAGGCTTTGCCAAATCAGAGATTAATAGAAATTAGGGGTCCATATTTTGTGATTTCCTGTCAATAAGTATTATATACAAACCAAATAGGTTTTGTTTCTCTTTTCCAAAATACTTCTAAAACCTTCTTGAAACAACTTCTAAAATCTTCTTGAAAAAACAATAATAAGTAATATCAATAAAAATAAATAATAATTTTCAAATAATCCTGGCATACTTGCTTTTGGAAAGAAAAAAAAAATCCTACAAGTGTTGCTGAACCACTCCTGTAATTTTTGGACCAGCAGCTGAAGAACATGTGGAAGATGTACTTATCTTCATTTGTTTAATTAGTAAGTATGAGTAATTAGTAACAGCATGCAGCTAAGCACTCAAGGATGGGCTGGTGAAGGGCTATTCAGCAGCACACCCAGCTGATGTTATGAGCTGTTATTCTCCACATTGTTACTGCTCAGCCAACATCACCAACCACAATTAATTAGGATGGACTCAAGCCTGACCTGAAGTTCACCAAAGTCACTGCAAAGCCTCCCACTAAGGTTAGAGATGTGGCTTCATCAGCACTGAGAACCTGACATTCACATTACAAACATGAAGGATCTGGGTTTATTTGATTTTTTGGGGGGCAGGAAAGAGGATTGCTATGGATTGGGTTTTTTTCCTTCCACTTTGCTCTATGTCCAGCCTATTCCCACAGACTGGATGTCTTATGGCTATAGAGAGCTCCTGGAATAATTGTCCAGCAGGATTTCATCAGAAAGGAATCCAGCTCAGGATGTCCCATCACCCAAACCAAGGCTTAGCTAAGTGGGGTTAACTGGAAAGATCCACCTGCAAAGCAAACACCTGATCCACAACAGAACACTAATTTTGGACACACCTTAATAAAAAATACACTGCCTGGTTTACTTGCAGAAATGGGATTCATCCAAAAGAGCTTAATAGCACGTTGAGTAAATAAGAAACAACCCAAAGACTAAATTCCCTGTCTACATTTTCTGCATACTGAATTTGTTACCCAGCCTCATTTATTTTGTGGCCACATATTCATATAAATTCTTCCTTCAGTATTACTAGTTCAAAAAATTAAAAATGGATTCTATTGAAGAAATCCTCCACAGATAAAAGGTAAACTTAAACAGTAAACTTATTAAATATGCACATTTTGTATTAGTTTCTACTTCAAAAGAAAATAATTGTATAAGATACATCTGAAAGAAAGTAAACTAAGTCTAAAAGGTTCACACAGAACATCATAATGAAACATATAAAAATCAAGAGCTTCCAACTTAACTTATTGCATGCTAGATATTATGCCATAATAGCTGTCTCACAAAAAAGGTCAGAATGTTTACTATTTGTGGCTTTTTGAAAATAAAATAGTATCTATTTTTCTTATCAAAAGTTTATGTTTACATAAAAGTCAAGAACCAGTAAAAGGGACTCTCATACAAAGACAGAAACAAATGACTAGAGTCCTTCTGAATGGGCACTGTGATGAGCTTTTTAATTACAAAACAAAGAGAAAAAGTCTATCGTGATTACCATTAAGTTTTATATTTATCAAGATCTTCTGCATTCAAGAACTTCAAAAGATTTCACTACTTATATCTATCATCTGCCTGAATAGAGTGTTTAACTTAAAAAAAAATTAAATGCTATGCAATTTTAATTGTTATTTGAATTATTTCTCTTTAAAGGGACTTATTTAATGGAAGTTTAACTTCTGACAAACCAAGCTACAATCTAACCTTACACTAATCCAGATGAATACTTCATTAAATAAAAAATATTCTAAGATTGTCCATAAACATGTTATTTAAGACACTAGGAACTGACTGGACTCATAGAAGGCACAAAGAAGATAATTTGTTGAAGTCAGATGAGCTTCTAGCAACAAATTCTTTTCTACAGCAGCTCCATTTCAGTTCATTTCCCTAATTCACATCCATGATTAGTTTCATTAAGAAAATGATTCTAAGTTTAAATCAGGAGTTCATGCATTCAAACCCATGAGAAAAACTGAGCTGGCACACAATAGGATCCCTCTGTTCTTAGAGAACAAGATAACAAAAAACATTTTTTTTAAAAGAAACACTCTTGTGTCATTAATTAAGGAATTAATACACAGGAAATAGTGAATTTTTTACAACCATGTTTTCCATTTAAAACAGTGATTGATTTTACAGCCTTTAGATTCCAGTTTGAAGCATTTTAATTTCATATGCATTTTCTACCAAATTTAAGTCATAACACAGAAATAAATCATTACCTTGAAAAAGCAAGAACTGCTATTTTCTGGCATTTATATACAAAAACTAACAAAAAAGAATGCAAAGTAATGAAAGTTAATTAACTTCTTATACATTTATCTATTGTAAACAGTATATGTGGGTGGCAGTATATAAATATATATATCTTTATACATGTATAAAGAGAGACAGCCTATCTTTCTCAGTGGCAAACAAAACCCAGGAAGGAAACTAACTGTGGGTTACACTTTTTCTTAAGGAAAACAAGTAAAGCATTGATAGACAAACAAAGATTAAAATGGATTATTTCAATCAAAGTTGCTTATCAGCCCTGTAATTTAATTCATTCTGCTCAAGACATAAACTGCTGCCTTGTGCAACAATTTCAGTACACAGAACTCAGCAAAGCTGCAGTGAGCCAAATGAATTCAGGTGAGATAAGAGTTCATGTCGGTATTCCCATTTAGAAACAGAATGTTCTTTAATTCTTGTACTCTCTCATATAGAACTTAAATATTTTTTTTATTTTTTTTTTTCCCAAATAGTGACATCCACAAGATTTCTTTTCACTACTCCCATTTGCATCACTCTTTTATTTACTCAGTTTCCTCTTCCCCTTACACTTGAAACCTTTCCCTCTCAAAACCTGATCTAGGGCAATGCTATAAATTAGCAGCAAATGTTTAGTTAAAACAGAAGACTTCAGGGAGAGCCCATTCTGAAGTACAAATAAGGTCTTCCACAAACACAAGCACCCAAAAACCTTCACAGTACATATCAGTAATAAAAGTCACTTCAAAACAAAGTAAGAAACAATCAAATTACATAAAAAGTTTGTAACATACTTAGAAACAGACAAGCATTGATATAAACGTGTATAAAGCACAAAGATTGTGTTCCTTGACACTTCACATTTTCATTTATATAACATGTTCAAGATATCAGATTGAAATACAGCAAAAACCTACCTTGAAGATGGCAACATGCTTGTAGGCTTGAAGTTTGCCATAAACGGATTAGTCGAATCATAATCAAAACTCTCCTGATGAGCTTCCCCAAATGCACTCGGTGATTTCAAGTCAGTAGAACTCTCTGATCCCCCATTGCTAAGTTTATCTGACCTCTTGCTATCTTTTTTTCCAGTCACTCTTTCAAAAAGACTAACTTTCTCTTTTTTCTCTTTTTTAATTTCTTTTCTGATCTCGACAGGTTTGGAAAACAGACTTAGGTTTTGATCCCACGTTGCTGGGCTTTCTTCAAATGGATTCTTCTGTCTTGGCAGTGTAGCAAATTTTTGGGGTAATGAAGCACTCACATTAAATGGGTCATTTTGTGCTTCAAGTGCAGTTTCATCAACTGTGCTGTCAAGTTGGCTCATTTTAGAAGTATCAACACTTAATGTCCTTCTGTGTGGAGATTTTAGACTCCCTGCAAACAATCTGTCATTAGTATATTATCAATGAGACACTATATCACAGTTTATGACATGCAGAAAAACCATTTTAGCTTAGATCTGGAAGCTTTGCAATTGAGCCTCAGTTCAGAACACTGGTGAGTAACTAAGCTATCAAAAAGAAATAAAAATTAACAGCTGTGGCCTCGATTTCATGTTTCAGAAATGTTAATGGATAGACACCATCAGAAATCATTGTTTCCTGCATGAAAATGAAGTTCTACAGAGAAGACAGCTATGAGTGGTGTGCCATTCCAGAAAGAGATAATAGTATGTTGCTGCATAATGACTCTGAGCAATGCAAAATATTTCCAGCTCTTTGTATAAATCAGGTTTAAAATTTGGTGATAGTTTTTGACTTTTTAATTAGACTTATTTCTCATAAGATGCTATTTTGCCTAGAGTCCCTTCTGGAAAGCAATGTACTCTCAGATGAGGACATAATAAGAGAAAATGCTACATTATCATACATCATGAGCAGTGTAAATTATCTCTTATGTTCAGAAACAGCAATTATGAGTTACCAGAAATTAAAGAAAGTGTAAAATATAGACCAGCAATCTCTCTTAACATTTTGGCATTGTAAGTGCTTCATAAACTAGAGTAACAGATTCTGAATGCTCTAATAGCAGTGAGCTGTAATTGTAATGGTCAGGAGTCTTACTTACCCCCTTCATCAACCGAACCAAAGGACTCCAGCTGACGCCTGAAGAGATGGGTGTAGCCAACAGTGCTGGATTTCATTTTCTCCGAGGAGACGTGTGGTCCTGTTAGATCTGACATGGAGTGAGCTGAGGACAGCCGCTGAGGTCCCAAGAGGAAAGGTTTTTTTGGTTTGGATTTCATTTGCACTTCACCACTACACACCTCTAGATTTGTATCAGGTATGTGAGTGCTCGGGATGATTGCAGAGGATGTATCTGAAAACGTCCCATCGTTTTTCCGACCCTTCATTTTGTCTTTTAGTTTAGCAAATGGGGATTTGGTTTTGTCCTTCATTGACAAATCAAACATACTTGCTGTCATGTTATTCCTCATAAACTGAATATTGACATTTATTTCTCCTCTGTCTTTAGTTCTCTTCCCTTGTCTTGATTCTAGGGGAAACCACCTTAAAGAAGAAAGAGAGCAAATTAGGTTGTGTTTTCTGAAGGCTATCATTACCCTCTGGTTAGCTGGGTAATGCATCTGCTTAGAACAATTTAAAGTATGATAACCCAAATCCTATATCCAAGATTCAACCATTCCTGAAATGGTTGAAAAACTGAAAAACTTCTCTGTTTATATTTGTTTTCAAAGAGAAAACTTAATAACTAAGCAAGAGGAAGCTCTTTACAGTGTTCACCTGTTTCAAAATCAAAATCAACTCTGGAAGCTGACCAAACATCATCAAAATTAAGGGCTTCCATAAAGGAGACTCTGTACTTAATTATAAATACAGATACATTTTATTTTCATTTTTCTATAGTTTTCAAGTGTTCTTTATTTAGTAGTGATGCATATTAATGTATTATATGTGGCAACTACTTGATCTAGTAAACTTTTCTCCTTGGATTTTGCTCAAGTTTATACACTAGCGAACATTTTCCTCTCTTTTCTTTCTTCTAAGAACTGGTTAAGATTTATGACAACTGCAGCAACTCTGGCTAAGAAATATCTGAGAGCCATGAACAGCCAGCTACCATTTCAATTCTGCAACTGCCTCCCCTCTGGATGCTGACAGTAACTCCACAAGTACAACTGTGAGCACGTAGGTGTATCCAACAGCATCCTCTCCTTTGCAGGTCACCGGCAGGATTAACTTCAGAAATATTTCCTTTGGAACCATGACATAAATCCCCACTCCTTGAGAAGAGATCAAAGGTGTGATCATCTGTTTCAAAAAGCCAAGTGTGCTTCTTTGCCAGGTCCAGCAAAAGCTTTATGATTATCCAAGTGCCTTATTCATTCCCTATTGTGCTCCTTTGTCCCATGGAAGCATCTGCAGAATTATGGCTCAATCTTCCCTCCACAGCTTCACCTAAATGAATGACCAACACACAATCCCTTCTCCACAACCATCACCAAGAGCCTTCCCCTATTTCAAAAGGTCACAAGGGCATATTTCAGATCCACCAGCTCCAAAGAAGTGCTCTAAACCCATTGTCAGGAGAAATCCATGCAGACAGACACACAACAGTGCCTTACCACCAGTAACTTTTGAACTGGAGAGGCAAAGAAATTAAATTGTCTATTAACACAGATACAAAATGGACTATACAGTTATACATACATTATTTGATCCTGCAAAATACAGAAAAAAGGAATGTCAGGAAAGGAGAAAAATAGCCCTCCATTTATTTTCAGATTTCATAAATATATTTTAAAGGTGACAGCTATAATCAAATTTTCAGGCATTACATGTTTTGAGTTGAGAAAATATTTCCAAAAGTAACACACCAAAGACATAACAAAATAATAAAGACTATTATGCCTTTTTTGTTGTTGTTGCTTTGTGATGTTCACAAGATTTTATATTTCATACTGAAGTAAAACAATTAAGAAATATCAGACCTCCTCTGTATTTGCAATGAACAACATGGATCCAGACCAGTAGACCCAGAAGCAGAAGGATAATTAAATCTTTAGGAAAAAAGCTTTTCTTCTGTTGTGAAGTAACTTCATTTATATACTTTAAATTAAATACAAAACCTGGAATATGCGTCTGAAGAAGATGGATGGTTTTTCCTTTTAGTTAATAATGTTTCACTTCTTTGGTAACTGATTCCAGAAACACTTTAAGCCATCTATAGAGTTGTTACAGAAAACAAAAACAGAACCAAAAGTCAGTTGCCTTTGTGCTTCATAATATTGCAAAAACTGGAAGACAAGATAGCCTACTTGCATTAAAACTCTTCTTTAAAAGAATGTATGTTCACATATTCCCTTAAAAAAATACAAACAGTACCCATCCATAATGAGCAAGCCTTGCTCAGACAGCTCCAGTGCAGATACAAAACCCTGACCAAAAACCATCCTGGACCTGAGAAAGTCCTCTCATGGCTCCTCAGGCACACACTGAACACACACCAGCACAAATAATGCTCATGAGGGTTTTAAGAAACATAAGAGGCAGAAAGGACTTCAGTTTTTGACATTCAAATTTAATGGCTCAGCCTACACTGTACCAAACCATTCCCTTTTTCCCCCTCCTCACAGGGTTCAAACATTAATACTCTATCTCTGATAAAACTGGTGCATTTTTCTATGTTTCTGCTTCTGAATGGTCAAAACCTTAAATTGATCCATGACACTTGTCTTAGACCAAGAAGACATAAATTCTTAAGCTTTTGCTATGGGGAAGAACGTCTTTTATTTTAAAAATTCATTTAACTCAATTATTGTCATTCTTATCACCAATCACCAACGCTGTTTCATTACCAGCACTCACCTGCTAAGGGTAAATTCCATGTACTATTTTGACATTTACCTCTTCTTAAAGAGAAGCCCACAACATTAAAAGTTCAACTGGGAAAACAAAGAAATTCTCCTTTCCCTAGGAAGACAACAGAAAGTCCTGCTGGAACCAGGTTCAGCACTGCTACTGATTCTAACAGAATTTAATCAAAAACTCTTTTACTCCAGCAAAATTCCTCTGGTCTTCAGTGGAATTTGTATTTGAATAATGATTGCTGGATCAAATCTTTGTATGAAAGACAGATATTTAATTTTCATTGGCATTTCAAGGAGGTTTCTTTGTTACCTTGGAGAGTTTATCTTGTTTTACTTATAATGAAGGCTCCATATGCTTCAGCTCATAACAAGACAATATGAGAAGCAGACTCACGAGAAGAAAATCACGATTTTCTTCAAAACTCAAAGGCAACTAATTACTTTTTTAAACAGATGAGAACAAATGGAGGCAAATGCATTTATGTGGAGCTGCACGTGAATGAGCAACTAAGTCTGTAAATGTTTCTCATTAGAATCTGTTTTGACAACACATGGGCGTGAGCAGCAAATAGAAAAAAACAGCTCTATACAGGAGAGAAGAAAGAATCGGGAAATGAAGTCCGCTGATTTCAGATAACAACATTTGGGTCCTAAAACACTAAATTCCACTATACTACTGCCAATTTAAAAAATTGAAATGTATTATAAAAGCCAATAAAACTTGCTATTTTGGTTTTGTTTACAGTACTTTTAGCCACAATAAATGCTCCATTTGTCAAGCTGCCATGAGCTTATTCTATAGAAAGCCTGTACAAAGTAGGAAAATAGCCAATAACATACATGAACAAAACAGGGTGGCTTTTATGAGAGCAGATGCCCTTTTACTTAATAACCAAATATTACATCCAGTCTTGCAGACAGTCTTTATTTAAACAGACCTTGTACAAAGTCTGGCAAATTTTTCCAACTTCAAAGGAAGCCCTATTGCCTTTGGAATCACATTCATTCTTCTTGCTCTCACCTTCCGATGTTCTGTAGGGCAATGTCCTCCATACACCCCCTAATTTTGACTTTTTCCCTATGGCTTCCATCAGAACAACCCTTGCTTCTTTCTCTCATCTGTTTTGCAGTGTGCTAAGGGGCTTTGCCTGTCTTGCACAGGTTTCTGTTAATTTTTACGTTTAAGTATTTCATAAATTGCTGCTCTGCGTGCCGACAATTTTCTTGAATGTGAAAAGAGAAGCTCAGTGTGCAAGGCTAAATAGGAAAAATCCTGCTGACCAGGCAGCCCTGAAAAGCTAAACCCCTATGTGAAGCAGCATGGCTACTTTCTACCCATGAAAAAAATAGTTTATTTTGGCCACACCTACAGTTAGGGATGGGAAAAAGCAAACTCTGGTAACTTGTGCAGTCTTACTAATAATGAACCCTTCAACTTAGGGAAGACAGACAGGAAGGGTGAAGGAGAAAAATCAAACAACCTACTAGAAATGAGCAAGTTACAAAACCCTGGCCTATTTAATTTGAATAAGTAGTGACCTACAGACTTTCAGCTGTTCTATCTGTCCTCCAAATCTGCCACAGAATCTGACACTTGCAATTCTTATCCCTCTCTCTCCTTTGAAGAAGCATCACTCAGCCTGTTCTGCTCATCATGTAACAGGGAGCAGGATGGGCTGACTGCATGGGTAAGAAAAAGCACTACCTAATTCCAATTACACTTTAATTTTATATTTTGACAGCTTCCAAAACCACTGGGTAACTTATCTACAAATTTCACCAGGAATTAAGTGTTCCAGCCAGCACATTCATCTGGTGAATGACAGATGATCTCCTCTGTCTTCTGGACAGTGCCAAAGATGGGAAAGTATTGAAAGAATTTTCCCATCTTTCTGCTTCTCAAATGCACCACTCTTCCTTCAGTCTACCACTAATTATCTGCTGAGCTGATCTAGTTTTGCTTTGCTGAAAAACCCAAGGAATTTTGCCAAATCTTTAATTCAATTCACAAATTATTGAAGAAATTTCGCAAAAAGCCACATAATCATCACAGCATCCGCCAAGACCTCTGACCTTGATTTTACAGGCAAAAATCAGCATCATGATCAGCTACACATTAATGAGAATTTCCTCTACAGGCAGATACTTCTAAACCTACCCCTATAAAAGACCACCAGAATCAAAATGACAGAACATGCCCATCACCTGACACAAAAAAGAAGTTGATGACTATTGTCAAGGACACACTGAAGAAACTTGTATCACACAAAAGCCCACTAACATAAATGTCCAGAGCTAATTGATAAAAAACAACATCCAAAGCCCAGAACTGTCTGACATTTTCATTTAGCAGCGTATGCAATTTGAAAAATGCAGAAGTATGTTTTGTGATAAATCATTCCAGTACCATACTGAGAGGCTGCCCCAAAAGTCAGCAAGTAGGAAAATTAAGGCAAGGGGCTGAGCACAGCAGACTACATCGGGTATGAAAGGAAATTAAGAAGAAAATAAATTATTTATTAAAATAAGTGATGACACTCACAAAGATGAACACTCTTACTTTCTGGAAGCCAACTGAAATGAGATATTCAAAGCAGTTTAAAATAAATATTACAGAGTGACATTGTAATGCCACAAAACATATGGGAAATGACAGCTATCACAACACCCTCACTATGG